AAACGTAAATAAAGCTTTTGTTTAAAAATCATGATTTAAAATGTGTTTTGGAAAATCCAGAAAAAGGCAGACTTTGTTAATTAAAGATGATAACCCTTTCTGTTGTCACAAACCTGTTCTTTATGACAAGTTTCTCTTAAGTTTGCTTGTCATAGAAGAGGGGGATCAAGCACAGATTTTGTCTGAAGACATTATCTTGCATTCATTAAGTAGATTTCCAAATACTATCTTTTGAGGATTGTTTGTGGGCTCAACATAAATGTATTTTTGGTAAGATTGAAGGTAGACCAGTTGGACACATACCTGGACATTACCCTAGAACATTTAAAATGCAACTTAAATTTGCATTTCTTGAGCATAAAGCAGTTGAAAAATTCATTTGGTTTTTGCACTTCTAGGATATTTGGTGAATCACTGAGCCAAAACACAGATGTAAAAGTCCTCATACAGTATAAAAAAGTTTAGAGGTCTGAAATGATGATTTCAGTTTAATCCTTCATGAACTGAAGCCCAGAGAAGGGAAATGACTTGCCCAAGGTTACATTTTACCCTGTGGTTTAAGAGATTTCATTCACTTCCCAGTTTAGGAGGCATTCTATTCATTTTTAATATGGTTTATGGTTGCATTTTACACCTGGAGTTTATAGTCTGGACTTGAAAATAACCAGTTATCCAGTTGGCTCCAAAGACTAATAGTGATGGTGAGCCAATGGCAGGGAGCTTGATTTTACTTCCTGCAAGGGTCAGTTTTTCAGGAGTTGATTTGTATAGTTGTATGTCATCCAGACCTGATTTTCTTCCCTATAGTTTGAAATTCCAACAACAGGTGAGAAGAAAAAAGTGTGAAAATGCTAAATACCACTGTCAAGCAACAGGTTGCAACTAAGGGCTATAAAAGGGCAATCAATTTAGGGAATGTCTCTGGATATCAGTGCACCATGCAGCTCATGTCCCTTGGTAACAGGGTAGCATTTTTGCCCACACCGGCAAGAAAAAGGGAATAATACCAGCCAAAATGTAGATACATAAAATTTTTTTTAAATGTCATTAGTGGGTCTAAGGAAATTTCTTGTGAATGATGAAGTTTTAGGGTATGGATAAATATTCAGGAAAACAGAAAAAAAAATCCCTGAACCAAGACTCTTCTCCACTTGGTTTAGCTAGGCCTTTCAGGCTTTCATGTGTTATAGCTTTTTGTACTTATTGTAAGGTTAATAATGTTCACGCTGTTCAGTTTCCACAGGTTTGGTGAGGATTAAATTAATGAAGTTTTAGGGTATGGATAAATATTCAGGAAAACAGAAAAAAAAATCCCTGAACCAAGACTCTTCTCCACTTGGTTTAGCTAGGCCTTTCAGGCTTTCATGTGTTATAGCTTTTTGTACTTATTGTAAGGTTAATAATGTTCACGCTGTTCAGTTTCCACAGGTTTGGTGAGGATTAAATTAATGAAGTTTTAGGGTATGGATAAATATTCAGGAAAACAGAAAAAAAAATCCCTGAACCAAGACTCTTCTCCACTTGGTTTAGCTAGGCCTTTCAGGCTTTCATGTGTTATAGCTTTTTGTACTTATTGTAAGGTTAATAATGTTCACGCTGTTCAGTTTCCACAGGTTTGGTGAGGATTAAATTAATGAAGTTTTAGGGTATGGATAAATATTCAGGAAAACAGAAAAAAAAATCCCTGAACCAAGACTCTTCTCCACTTGGTTTAGCTAGGCCTTTCAGGCTTTCATGTGTTATAGCTTTTTGTACTTATTGTAAGGTTAATAATGTTCACGCTGTTCAGTTTCCACAGGTTTGGTGAGGATTAAATTATTTCATGTCAACTAGGAGGGAAAGTTGTGTTGAGACATTAGATTGAAAAATTCTTTATAGTTTGAAGTTTTGTTTTGTTACTATAGCATTTCATTTTTAGTTAACCAAATTATGATTTTATTAATATTTCTTTGCTTATTAAAAAAAGGTATTCCATCTGTATGGTAGCAATTTACTGGCATTTTGATCACAAAACTGGCTGAATAATTTTAGTCCTCAAGCCTTCTGCTTTCTGAATCAGGGAGGTTTAATTTTCACAAATGTTTTTTTCAGTTTAGGGTTCTATATGATGATCATACCCTCTAGGGTAAAAAGTGTGGGAAAAGGTGGCTGACCTTGAGATGTATGCAATTCAGTTGTACTGGAGTTCTTTCAGTGTTGAAATGGAATAATAAAATCAGAAAGCACGGAACGGTTTCTAATTTCAAAGACAGGCTGTCTGACCTTGCCTGAATAGTTCAGGTAGAAATCAAGAGGGAACAAGGAGAAGGAAATTAAGTTCCCCTCTGGGTGACATACAACCACCACAACCTCTACTAACACATTTGGGATTACGATGTGGGCCATTCAGTTTAGGGTCCAGCAAGCTCTCACCTGGAGTTGTTTTTCTCCTGTATTTTTGTTATTTTTAAAAGTTCTTATTAAACTTGTATACCCCCTTACACACACACACACACACACACACACACACAAATACAACTTTACTCCCCCACCCCCACATCCCCCACTCCCCACCACAGTCACTTATTCATTCTTGGTTCTCTATCTCCCTGAACTAGAGCCTACAATTTAATTTAAGAAAGAAGAACTCTAATACATATTGGGTTCTTTGGTTCTATTTGGACAAGTCTTCTCTTGAAATCAGGGAAGGGACTTCCCAGATACATAGACTCACTAGTGTTTGGATTCTTGTTTCAAACCGCAGAGGAAGGAAACTTACATGGATTAAGGGCTTCCATTAAGCCTAATTGCCACAGGCACCAGTCAGCAGTCACCTCCCAACCACCTCATTCAATGAATGATTATTCATTCCCCATGTAGTATTTCTTGTGCCCTGGCTGGACAGCCTTTCTGTTGGCTAAGAGGTCTCCAACCTGCCAGCATCTGCTGGATGGAAGTTTTGATGCATGTTTAAAAATAAACATCAGTAATTTAACTGGGAATATTTGTTTTTAGTGGTGAAATGGCTTTAGTCATTCAATGGCTGGGAAAAAGAATTGAAAGCAGGAAAGTGTGTTGTGACCACAGACAGGCCTCTTTTGTCTCCCAATGTGATAAAGCAGGATGGAGAATATTCTAGGTTGATTTGTATTGCTCTGATAGTGAAATCACCAATTGGGGTGTTTTGTGTTTACCTGATTAACTTCCTCATTTTATTATAATTGCTTTTTAGGAGCCCAGAAAGTTTTTCTTTTTCTTGTGTCTTTTTTTGGTTAAGTGACTCTTCAAATGTGGTGCTTGGGGAGAATAAGTCTTAACATCCAGGGGCCCTAAATGCAGCATAGATGTTCAGCTGTTTCTGGCACAATGAGAAATGGGAATCGTAAGAACCTTGCACAGATCAGCAAGTGCCAAGGGTCCTCTGAGTTCAAATCTAAATTACTTCCTGGTTGCATGATGTCGGGCAAGGAATTTAACTAGCTTGAGCTTTAATGTCCCAGTCTGTAAGTTGTGAGTTACAGCATTTTGGGCCTTGAAGAGATGATGACTGTAAGAGACCTGAAGCACCCCTGTGCTCAGAGAAGGCACTCTCTACGTGGTGGTGGGTAGGGGCCTCCTCATGGCTTATATTTTCAGCAGTTAGTTGGTTCCCATATTTGAAGTGCAGGATTGGGATTGGGATCAGTAGAATCAAGTCACCACAATCCAGATGGATTTTTTTGTGTCCCTTTGGCATCTAGAGTCAGGGATGGCCCAAACCTTTAAAGGAGTAGAGCTGTGGAGTGCAGCCTCGCCACCCCTTCCCTCCCCTCCCTGGGGTACTACTTCCTCAGCTTCAGAGGCCCAGGTCAGCCCCTCCAGGTGACTTGTGTTCACTTCTGCAGCCTGTCTGCCCCTCTTCCCTTGGCCCTGCAGCCAACTGGAAGAAGTGATGAAAAGGAGGTATAGCAAAGGGGGCCACATCCCTGAAGACGGAGTTTTGTGTGACATTTTGCTCTTCGTTCCTGCCAGGCCTTGCTTCCTACCTTCTCTACAACCAAAGATCCTTGTCTGGAGAGCAAAAGTCACAAGCATTTTTGTCATTAAAATGTCAGCAGTTATATGTACCCTCTATCTAAATAATAGAGGCTTGGAATAAAATGTGGCAAGGATTACAATGACTTCTTAATGACTGAAAAAAGAGCAGGTGGGCCTCAGGGCTATACATCTTCACTACCTGGGTTTCCATGGATACTCTGCTTTTTGCTCCCACTAAAGCTGATTTTTTGTAATTTTGCCTTATAGCTGAGCCTCAGGTAGGGTGGTTAATGGATACAAATGTGGAAAAAATGGTTTGTAGCAAGAGTCTTTCTTTTCTTCAAATCAAAACCCCCTCACTTCCCCTTTAAACCATACATCAGAGGGTTTTACCAGGGAAAGACTATGCCTTGCCATTGCTAGGTAAACAGAAAAGAGCAAATGCAGTCATAGTTGATATTGGGATGATTTTCCCTAGGAACCTGGTCACTCTTGCTAGTCATTGGTGTACTGTTAATAGATTGGCATGCTGGTGAGGCTGGAGGGTCTTAATTCTTCAAGTCCTTTCTCCCCACCCCTTGCCCACATCAGTAAAATACCAGATACATTATTGGAGTCTAATAGTTTATTGCATATAACTAGAACATACACTGTATTTCTAAGACCTTGAAACCTATTTTTAAAAATAAAGGAGACCCTCAGCAGTAGCCATGCTCCAATAGCAGCAAATGCTGATGCATCTATTTGACCCTCCCCTTGGAGTGTTCGTAAAGGTTGTTCTTAGCCACAGGAGACATTTATACAGACAACTAAACATGCCTTAATGATATTGGGTAACTCATCAGATACCCCTTTGGTTCCTTTCTCCCTGGACTTCCCCATCCTCTCTGGTGGACTGTGTGGGCCCTGGGCTCCTCAGTCTTAGAGAGCTCTGGGTCCGTGCATCAGCCGCCCGCCTGGTCTCAGGCTGGCTCTTCTGTGACTGTGCTGTCTTTCTCTTGCAGATTTGGACATCTCTCAGACTGAGTTCTCATCCCTCCACGACTCAGATCAACTTGGCCCTCAGCTGCCCATGTTTACAACAGAAGCAGAGCTAAATCTACAGACAGTCACCAGACAAGATGGGGAAAGTGAAGACGGAGCTGAAGAAAACATTGTTTACCTCTAATTGTGTTGTCGTTATTTTCCAAAACAAAACAAAACACTGGCATTTTGGGGAGATTTTTTTTTTCCTTTCCCGATGTGTGTGTGACTATCCACGTCCAAATTGCTTTAAGATATTTATATATCTTTAATATTCCATGCAAGTTCATTTTGGGGGCATGAGTCTAATAATTAAATTATTGAGCTGCAGCTCTGTTTGTATAATCATTAACTTATCACACCTAATTTCAGATTCTGGAGGAGAAATCAACTGGAGTAAACAAATATTTTCAAAGTTGTACGACTATAGAGTAAAAGTCCGTATTGCATTTTTTGCTGGATTATCTGGTTTTCGAATGCCTTTTAGGATCTAGATGACACAATTTGGATGGAAGGAGTGATATTTGTAATGGGCAAACGTTCATGATCACCCCAGCTGATTGTAAGCGTGGCCACAGTGCCCCAGAGGGCAGAGAAAGATGTGGGAAAGGCCTTTTCTTGACCAATTTTTAACCTGCTAATTTCTCCTTGGGACATCAATGGGGTCACTCCTGATAGTCCTCTGTCACAGTCACCATGCTACCAGGGGTCCTGGCTGGGCCTGAGCTTTGACCTGGAAGCCACTCTGACATGGACACAGTCTGGACTCTGGAACCCGGGCCACTGCTTGGCAGATGCACTTTCTTGGTCGTAATGCTTTCAAGCTACAGTTCAGCATCTTTCAACACAGTCCAGAGGCAACGCTCCAGCAAGTCAATTTCGATGTAAATATTGAAACTCCAGGAGAGCCCTTGCTTTTCTCTGCCAGCCCTGGGAGCCACAACTACCATTCACTAGAAGGATCTCTGCCCTGGACAAAACTGCTCTCTTGGCAAAGTTTGCTGCTTGCTAAGTGTTTTTCCACAAAGGAAAACCAGCACATTCTGCCTTCAGAGGAGTATGGGTGCCTGTATGGGAAAATAAACCAGGAAATGTTTTCAGCTTGTTCTTCAGAAATAACTTGTATGTGTTTTGGTCAATGTCAAAAATATCTTTTACCTCACTATTTTACTTGGAAATTTTAATATTGTGTAGGACCGTAGTAAAACACACATTCCACACACAAATACAATCTCCCCTTATTAAAAGTGAAAGTAAAGGAAGAGCACTAAATTCACCCAGAATTGCAGCATTTAACAGGAGAGAGCTGTAATAAGAAGGGAAAAAAAATTCACCCAGATTTCACTGTTTGTTTTCCTATTTAAAGTTGCCAGTTGAATACCTACTTTAGGGATACTTTTTGTGGGGGCACTCTTTCTGACTTGCTGTTTCTTGCCATTTTGGTCACAATCACATTAACAGCTTCAGAGACTCATCTTCACACAATGGATATAGCTTATTAAAACTTTAGTCAATCACTTCACTTCTAAGCTGAACTCCTAAATTATAAGATGCACCTTTCATTCCTGAAAGTATCTAGAGAGAAAAATCTACTTTCCTTCTCTCTTCTACAGCCCTTGACTAAAAAGCTTATAGATACTTTATTCTAAATCCTAATTTCAATAACTATAAATATCTTCCCCTTTTTCCTGACAGTGGATATGGGACCATCCATATGTGAAAATATGTAAAGATATTCAAAATCCCCATGGAGTTCTTAAAAAATACTTAATGTTAACTTGGTTTTCAAGCCCTGTAAACAGAGCCCTTGTGTAGCCACCCAGGGGGAAGTCTTAGCATCTTTTGAGATGTTAGGGTCTAGGACTCTGGGGTTTCCCAGAGAACAAGACACACAGACACGGAGATGAAAATCCAAGCAAAGTCTTTATTCAGCCAGCAAGCTGGGGTCGACAGCACCTCCCCTGACACGCAGGCCGAGTCCGAGCTGCCGACCCCGAAGCAACTTTGGGTACTGATTATATAGGATCTTCACAGCCGTTACACCAAAGCCCGCGCAGTTCTACAACTAATAGGTTTAAAACACACTCTATATTGTAACCAATGGGAAACATTGTAACCTTTTTAGGGAACGCGCCAGTTGCCTGCCCGCTTCAATTGTTATCTCTTGCTTACCCAAGCATGTCTATGTGACTTATCACGGGTTACATCCCCAGGCGTTCCCAGGCTGTTGCCCACTTCTAGTTATCTAACTTAGGGTAGGCGCATTTCTCAGAAGCCTCGGGTAATTTACACAAGAAAAGACTGGGTGGCTCTCGCTCTAGGCAGTCAGGTTAAGTGTCATTAGTTCTTTTTCCTGACTCTTGATGCTCTCTGCACTCCGTTACAGAGATACCTATATTCATAGGTTCCTCTTGGTAATTTTCTTATTTAATATTATGAATCTTCAACTGAATATAATGTCTCAAAGCTTTATAATATACTTTGTCCTATGTATACTTTGTCTATATATACTTTGTCCTATGTAATGAACTCAGATCTCAACAGAGGTCACTTTGTGGCTCCAACAGAAATTCACTAATCTCAAGAGATCACCCTAATTCCCAGCATTATAAATAAGTTTCCTCCAAAAGATCTACTTTTCCCACTAATTGAAGAGCTTAAAGGAAAACCATGCATTCTTTTAGAGATTTGTTGTGGAAAGAAAAGCAACGGTTATACTCTGTCCCTCCCAGGCTGCATTAATTTATGTGCCATCTCATTTATAGTCCAGGCTACTCTGTATTTTCTCAGGACTGTATAATTCCTGGAGTCATGCAACACTTTCCAGCCCACTCACAATCGGGGTCCTGTTCATTCAGAAAAGAGTGAAAACACTAGCAGCCGTGGTGATGGTGCGGTGTGTGTAAGAGTGGTGCAAGGTGAAGGTGAGCATAATTATATCATAGGACAACACAGAAGTAAAAAAGGAATATGTATTCCTTCCTGTGACCTAGGACCACATTTCAAACTCAGAATCAACCTGAGGTTTTTAAGTATCTACCATCTCTGCCTTTCTCATTGACAGTATGGATTCTGGAGCCAGATCTTCTTGCTGTATGTTCTTGGGGTGTCACTTTACCTCTTTAGGTCTGTTTCCTCATTCATAAAACAAGGATGATTACCTTACAAAATTGTGAGAATTAATTGATTAATATATGCAATATCCTCAGAATAGAGCCTAGGGCATATTAGTCAATATATGTACATATTATATCATTAGAAAAACTTTCAATTATTGCTTAGCCTAGTCCTAGACCTAGTCAGATTGTACCTTCAGAGCTGGAAACAGCGAATAAGGAAGCCAAATGCCTAGAGTGGGCTATTCCTGAGCCTGGTCTAAGGTTTCCTAAGGTTAACTTTCAAAGTATATACATCTCTAAACCTCCACTTATTCAAAAACATTCATTGACTGCCAAAGGCCAAACAAAAGCTATTAGGAACAAAATAAAGATGAATAAGCCTGCAAGTTCTTGGAGAAATCAAACAGAGGAACAGATATGGGGAAGTATAGGTTGCTGTGAGAGCTCATAGGAAGAGCAATACGTGGAATGGAGGGAGTTGTCCTAAAGCAGAAGCCAGAGGCTTGAAGGGTGAGTGGAAGGTCAGAGGTCCAGGAAATCTGAGGTGGGGAAATCTGAGCAAGGAGGGAAACCCAATCAAAAGTCCTGAGGCTTTAAACAAAAATGTGAGAACCTGAAACACACATTTGGAGGTAGTACAGAAAAAGTTCCTCCCCTCTAGGGTAAGGTGTCCAGTGAGAATATTTATTTTTGCCTCTTTCAGGTATTCTCCTAGCAGTCCTGGGGAAACAAATGTCTCCCCCGACATCTCCCAACTTGGTAACTGATGAGGCTCCATGACAAGCCAGACTATGGAGGAATACGCCCCCTCCTAATCCCCTTAGCCTTCCACACCCATGTCCACTGTGAAGCAACTGGGTTCCAGTCAAACCGTCAGTTGGATATCTGCCTACTAGATCCCAGGCCACAGGGACCCAAGAGGAAGGGGGACTGTGGCACTGCCTGAAGGTGCTTGTTGGCACAGGGGGATCCACAAGGTAATGACTTACATGGGTCAAAACAGAGTTTTAAGTGGGGGAAAAAGGAAGAAAAAGGACAGACTCACTTTGCTCTTCTGCTTTCTTCTTTTCATTAAGTTTTTTTCCTGCAGTTTTATATTGTTCTTTCATTTGGGACATACTCCTCTTGTTTCTGTGTCTTTGGTGAAACAGTCACCTCTCTCAGTCTTGAAGGAGTGGCCTCATGAAGGAGATGGACCTTATCTCATTCTACCTTGCCCTAGCTTTTCTTCTCTCTCAAACCTTTGTGATGGTCCAAGCAGCCTATTTTATTTTTAGTGGCTCCCGGTAGTTAAGGGTGTGCCCAGACCTGTCAGTGTCCAGGGGGGAGGATCTCAGCACCTAGATTCAGGCTGACAGGGAGCCAGACCCTCAGGCAGCAGCTTTTAAAGTATGCAAATATATACAGTCCCATGGGAATGCAAGCAGAAGTCCTGAATGCCAGGAGAAAAGCAAGGAGGTGTCTCCTGGGAGACAGAGAAATCAGGGCTCCAGACCAGGATATGAACTCCCTTCTGGGAGACACTGTTGAGCCGCTGCAAGGCAGAGGGAGAGGAAAGATGCTGTCCGCAGCCTACATTCCCTGAGGGCCCCTCTGTAGGGTCTCTAAATGGGTGCCAAACCTGAAGCCTGCTCCTCAGGCCAAAGCTCCTGGATGAGCAAACAGGCCTCTTTCATGGTTGGTGAGGCAGGACGGGGCAGGCTGCTGTCCGTGCAGCGCCCTGGGTGATGGCCTGCTAAGAACTGTCCCTCCAGTTACTACAGTCGTGTGGGACCCAGGAACACAAGCACCCTGGTCACCAGAGCCCGGTGATCAGGGGGCATCCCCCCAGCTGCCGTTGCAAAAACCAGGGCACCAGACATGTAAAAGCCCCCCTCCTGGACGCAGGTGCTGTGGAGCGCAACACAGGGAGAGCACAAGGATGGCTCCTGCCTGCGGATGGTAAAGACGCTCACTCTGAGTGGAAAAAAAAAAATGCGCCTGCCACCTTCAGTGAGACAGCGGGAGAGCGTGAAAATGGTGACGTCCCCCACTCCGCCCTGGAGAGTCTCTCCCCAGGCCCTGGCCCCTCAGCCAACCTGGAAGATTAGCCAGGGAGTCTCCCATGAAGTCCGGCGCTTTCCAAGGGCTCTTCTGCGCAGGCTCCAGGGCTAGCGAGCCTGCGCCTTGGGCCCTTTGAGAGCTGCCTGTCAGTTCCTCACACTTCTTGAGTCTCCAGGACGTGAGCCCTGGCTTTTCAAAGCCAGGTGTTTTGAGGGCTCACCTCTCGGGTGCAGGTCTTAAAAGCCGGGGTCTGGGCGAGGGCACGAACCCGTGGCTCCTCAGGGAGAAGCTCGGCTCTGTGAGCTCTCTCCTGGCGGCCGGCCGGGGTGCCAGCGTGGGGAGTTCTTGCAAGGTCGTATTTGCCGATGTGAAGCAGCTGCTGAGCTCGTGTCAGGCATCCTTCAGGGGAAATTGTTCCATATGCAGCCATGGAACCGGTGTGTCCTTGGGAAGAGGTAAGTTCGGAATCCTCGCATGTTGCCATCTTGGAGAGCCCCCTACTTTATTTTCATCTTCAACTTTGATTCCACCTCTCCCACCCCATCTTAATCTACCCCTTAAGGCTCTGTGGAGAATGGAAAAGAAAAAACAATTTTTTTTAAGGAGTAGAGGGGACACATGGCAGATTCCAGAAGGATCTTGTAATGAATAACACCAAGAGTTTACTATATTCTTCCTTGACTGTCTCTCACGCACAGATCTCCCTCCACCAAGGGTAGAGAGGCAGTAAAAAGATATGGAAAGATATGAAAAAAAGATAAGGAAAAATCCAGCAGATCTGGGCTCTGCTTAACTGAAACCACCCAGGGCCACAGGATTGCCCAGCACCAGAGGGCACCATTCACCTCGGGTGGAGTGGTGCTCCAGAGGCCCATACTCGGGGAGTCCAGTGTCAGTGGGCTCTTGAAGTTGTACAATCCTGCAGCCTTGCTTCTGAGCTCGGTTTGCTTATCT